TGAGACAAAAGTTTAACTTTTTGGAAGGTGTGTGTCCCGTTACATCTGGCGTAAAACCAACACAGCATTTCATAAAAAGAACATCATACCAACAGTCAAACATGGTGGAGGTAGTGTGATGATCTGGGGCTGCTTTGCATCTTCAGGATCTGGATGACTTCCATAATTGATGGAACCATGTTTTCTGCGCTCTATCAGAAAGTCCTGAAGGAGAAGAGTGGGACAACATTCCTCCACAGTGATGTGAAAGACTCATTACCAGATATCGCAAACGCTAGATTGCAGTTGTTGCTGCAAAGGGAGGCACAACCAGTTATCAGATTTAGGGGGCAATTACTTTTTCATGTAGTGCCAGGCAGGTTTAGACAGCTTTTTTCCCTTAATAAATGTAATCATTATTTCAAAACTGCATTTTGTATTTACTCGAGTTATCTGTGTATAATATAAAAATTTGTTTGATGATGTTTATCTTTTAAGTGTGACAAATCTGCAAAAAAGTATAATATATTAGTGCTGTCAAACGATTAATTGCATCCAAAATGAATGTTTGTTTACACAATATGTTTGTGAACTGTGTATATTTATTATGTCTATTGTATAATATTATGTATTACGTATTATGTAATACACAATATTTACATGTATATATTTATATTCATATTTATATTATATATAAATATATTTAATATAAACATAACATATTTTTCTTATATATACATGCATGTGTATTTATACATTATAAATATACACAGTACACAAACATATTATGTAATCAAACTTATTTTGGATGCTATTTATTTATATATACATGTATGCATGTATGTGTACGTGTGTGTGTGTGTATATTTCAATCATGACCCTCTCGGAAGATTTTAGCATGGTGATGGATATGACAATGTTAATGTATTTGGTCTAGGCGGAACAGATCAGCTACGCTGCTGCTGAATTGCTGCAGCTGTTGGTTATTGCTGTAGTTGTAGATTATTGCTGCTGTAAGCAAGTACAGGAACTTGCTAATGCCAATGCATGCGGCGATACGGTGCCGTGAGTATTTAAGACATACTGCTGCTGCACAAATAGCATATAAAATAACCCGTAGCAGATCTACACAGGTGGAGCTGGGGAAGGTGGAGGGTTTCAGAGGAACTCTGATGCATGCTGCAAATGCTCAAGTGAATGCTAACCAGCCATATAAATGTTAAGTAGCAAGCTCATTTGCTGTGAATGCAACATGAACCAATCAGCTTGTGCTAAGTCGTTTAACGCTGTGAATATCATCAGTTACGTTAATACCGTCAGCCTGCGCCATCTAGAGTTACATGACTGAACTATACATGTATGTATGTATGCATATACGTATGTATGTATAATAAATAGAAGTATATTGTTCTTGTTTTTTAGATTGTTAGAAGGATTAACCAGGTACCGGACACACTTACCTGCATAACTCATCACCCAGGCTTTGAACCGGTTTGCCTAAATGTGTATTCACTACAGAATGCACTTAATGTTTACAAAGCTGATTATGGCCGCTTGAAACTCAGAGGAATAGAACAGTAAGATTTATATTATGTAATTTTGTGTTCAATACAATAGCAATTTTGTAAAGCAGTCAGGTCATTACAATTACATTAAAGTAACACACAATAGTATGTTTCAATGAAAACACTGTATTTTAAGACAAAAACAGCTGTAATGTTTTGTATGTTTTTATTAACAAAATAAATATTAGAACATTTGTCATCAATTCACAGTAATAGCAGATAACAAAGCAAATGACTTTGTCATTGTCTTTCTCATTAGGCGTTACAGGCACTTGGCACACAGGAATTTTGTGAGCTGGTGCTGGGGCTATCTGAGCAGGACGATCAGGGTGGTTATCCCGTCTTGCGTTGTCCTGCGTATATGCCGAGAGTTTCCTGATGCTGCAGGCAGCTGTGCTGGATTCAGACCTCCCCTTGACTGAACCACGATACATGCCTTGCGATGGCTTCTACCATGGAGGGTCTGTCATACTGGGCTGAGAGTGATTTTGTGAATCTCCTACATGTAGGGAAGAAGTTCTGGGATCACTTTTTCAAAAAGGAAGGTCATCAGATTAATGACATAGCCTGTAAAAATATAATTGCACAAGTAACATTACAATTAATTATATTTACGGTTTAGATTTTGTAGTTACTTAATTGTGAACATCAATAAATTTGTTTAACTTACAATATGTTGCCTGTGACTTTAATGGCCACGTGGAGTATTCTATCTTTTTGGCTTTGGGAAACAAAAGCCAGTACATTGGCATTCCAGTTGTTGTTTTATCCTGAGGACGATTGGAGTTCTTGTTGAAATGCATACCTGCCAAATACAGTTTGGAGTATTACGTCAGCAAAGGTAATAAAGACACCTTCATAGAAGTCATTAAATTGCTTTCAAACACACCTGCACAACATTCCAAGGTAAGGATAAACCACGTTTTTTGGTGCAAAGCGTAAAATCACAGTGAAAAGCTTACAAAGATGAAGTTTGAAAGTGAGGGCTGAGTTTCTCGGCGTCTTTTTAGCGTTCTCTCATTTGTAAGAAGCTTTTCGACAGTGTACAGTGCTTTGCTTCTTGTAACCACATTAGAAACTATTACAATTAAATAAGAAATTTACTTTAAAACTTACTATTTTCAAATTAAATTTAAAAAAAGAATTAAATTACATTCCAACAAAGTATGTCATCTCTTAAAAAGGCCATAACATGAAAATAAATAAGCTAAAATTCACTCACTGAAGTTGTGATGACTCTGTTACAGTGGTGACAGACTCAGCTGGCTCATATGTTGTGTCCTGATTATCAAAGACCTCAAAGGAAACACTTTCCTCCCCCATCCAGTTCTAGATGAGCTCTGTTTGTTGGCTTTGAGTCATTTAAAGGTGATGAAGTCAGAGGTGTTGAAGCCAAAGTTTCGAAAGTTTCACCAGATGTAGTGGTTCAAACACCTACACTTTTACATGACACCTCTGTCTGTGTTCTTACAAAAAAAAGACAACCTTTCATGACAAAAATTGTTTACACATATGTTATGTCCTAAAAACATTACCTTAAAGATTTAAAACTAAGCATATATGTCATAATTAAGATTAAAGGCACAGCCAGTTAGCCAGTAACATACACACCAAAAATTACAATGTCACATTGTACATTATAAAGACTGGCCTCTAGCAACAATAAAGACAACATGTGACCAACTACAATCCTTCACAGGCACATTTGAGTGAACAAAGAAGAAAAGTTGATAGAGATGCTACTACACTCACATGAATACACACACACCTCACATTTCGCAATCTTCTGAGTGATGGTTCCTCTCAAGGTTTTGTTCTCCTATGCATGCCAGTTTTTCCTCAGCACTTTTGCCTCTGGATTGATGTTTTATGGCATTGATTATATTATGCAACCTTGTTATGAGTTCATTTAAGTTGTGAAAGGTATAAAAATAAAATTGGAAATCAATTGTTTTTTTTAATAATCACCAAAAGAATTTGTATGCATATCTATCTTTATATATATATATATATATATATATATATATATATACAAAATACAAACCTTTGCTTCTGAATTTAGGTCCCATGGTTCCAAAGGCCAGCTGTGTGCCCTGTGATGTAAATTTCTGTGTCTGTTTGACAAGCTATGCCCTTTATAGTTGGAGCCTTCCGAGACTTTGGTTAGACATGTACACATAATCAGGACATATCAAGTGATCTCTAACAAAGCAATGGTGACACATAGTACAAATAGTTTTACTCACATAAGTGTGCTGCGCCATTCCTGTCGGATCCAATACTGACGGCGTCGACGTGTCTTATTACAAAGGAATCCACAGTGAAACGAAGCAAACAAACGCTCAATGTTTTACTCCCATGAGCTGGAACTTCATTAAAAATAAAGTTCAACCATGCATTCCCAATATTTGAATCTGAAGGAAGGTTATGCAGTGACTGTGTCCTTGCACAACCAGGCACTGCACAATATTTTGTGATCTTCAACGGCATGTTTATTGCTTGGTTGTTCGATCCGGTTTAGCACCACTTATGTTATTTCCCTACTATGTCATGCGTGAATCAGTGGGCGGGGCTACAGAATTAGGCATTGATCATCTTCTGTGGAGGCGGTCTATAGACATATCTATAGATAGGCACATTCCAAGATTTGATGTTCACTGGGACTCGTGTCAATAAAAGCTTTCATTTTAGTAACAAGGACGTTTTCAGTTCTTAAACTTTCAGGATATTCTTTTAGTACGATGACCTCTTATATATCAAAAGCTCAAGTAACAGCTGATTTCTCAATTCATGACCCCTTTAAGTAAAAGTACAGATATCTTACCAGAAAATGACTCTGGTAGAAGTTGAAGTCACTGTTTAAAATATTACTTGAGTAAAAGTTTTAAAGTATGTGATAATTAATGTATTTAAGTATGAAAAGTATTTTTTTTTTATTATACGTACTAAAGTATTGAAAAGTAAAAGTAGACGTAAATGCAAAATGGAAAAGAAGCAAATAAATATATTTTTTAAAAATTTACAGTTTGAGAAGCAAGATTGTGTTCAGTTTGAACTCTTTCTTTCATTTTGTATCTTTGGGAAAGCATAAGAAGCACTTCATCTGGTACTTAGTCTCCAACATATGAAAACATTTCTGGAATCTGCATCTAAAGTGGCGATTATATGTATTCACACAGTTTAATGTATTTCAGAGGGGACATGAATGCATTTAACCTGCAGTTACATATAATGCTTTGTTTAAAACATAAAGATGAATACCGATATTTGAAATGATTTAAAAAATGAAAAAAAGTTTAAATGTGAAATTAAAACTGCCAGGTGGCAGCAAGTCACTAAGTGAGTCATTGAGATTCAACCGATTCATTCAAACGGCTGATTCATTCAGGAACGAAGCATTTGACTGTGTTAATGAGTGAGTCACTGAATCATTTGTTCAACCGATTCCTTCAAAATGCTGATTCATTCAATAAGTAAACACCGTCTGTTGCTCAGAGATGCAAAACAGTGCTGTGATCTTTGTTTTGAACTATTTTTGTTTACAAAATTGAGAACAAACAGGCAATATTGTGTCTAAAATGTAAGTCACTTAATGCTAACTTTATTAAACGTGTATAAAATCTATATTACATTTGTTATGGTAATATCTGGAGAAAAACGTCATACTCCTCGTGTGATGTAAATGAACTATAGTAAATGATACAAATATAAAAGACATACAGAGGCATATTTGTCGCCTACAATATAATATGCTTCGGGGAAATGCATCGGAGTAAAAGTGTACATTTTAATTAGGAAATGTAGTGGCGTAAATGTGAAAGTTGACAGAAATAGTACAGATTTTCCCCAAAAATACTTAAGTACTGTAACAAAGTATTATTAATACAATAACAATTGTATTATTACAATTAATACAATAACAATTGTATTATTAATACAGACAATAAAGCTCGACTTGATTTGACTACTTTGTTACATTACACCACTGGATTATAATTTAAAATTATATTATTATTTTTAGTTAAAAATCAATTTTAACCATTGTTCCCAAAGTCTAGCCTCTGTAGGAAGGCCGAACAAAGAGGCCCTGCAATCAGGGAGAAAAAAAACAGCGTTTCGACAGCATATCAACAATACTCCACTACAACAACTCTTCCTCTGTTGCGTGCTCCCGGAGGCGGGGATTATGTCAATTTTAGGGTTTGTGATGTCACAAACCCAGGAAGTAGCTTGTTGAAGTCCCTACCAGCCGCTTGTTGTAGGCCATAAAAAAAGTGAATTCTGTAAAATAAAACATATCCCTTTGCATTGAACTTTGAGTGTCGTAACTTTACAGATTGTTTATGCTCAAACAGCAACATTACACACTAACTAAAGTAAAAAAAAAGTGAAATCATAATCAAGGACCCCTTTAAAAATGAAAGTGAAGACATGAAGATTGAAGAAGCATTCAAACATGAAGATACTGAGGAGCAAGTTGGTTTCATTCTCAAAGTCTTTCTTCGGTCATTCTGCACCATGAATCTCTTTATTTACTACACAAAACACGTGACAAAATGAATGACGTCCTCCAGGACCGAAGTTGCCCATCCCTGCTTCAAGACCTGAAATGGGAATGTCATGACATGCAAAATGTGCATTGTTGCAGGGGCTAATATGTAGTATGATGGGTTTTTATTAGGGGTTCAACCACTTAGTGCTGAAACCCTATTATAATTGTAAGGATTTTTTTATTAATATTCTTCCCTAAAACTGATCGTGCAGCCCAAACCGTAAGGCCTACAGAGCTGATACTTGGTCAGATCGTAGTAGTCTTGACCACTACTCGGATCCAAAGACTCGCCCCAATCGCTACAGCGCAAAAAACGACATTTTCAGACATTTTTGGCCCTAGCTCGTACACCGTTTGTCGTAGATTCAAAAATTACATCGTTGCAATCCTTGGGTCAACATGAACAAAAGTGTACTTTCTTTAGATTTTCTCTACGATATCCGGTTTGGTTTTTCCGCAAAATTGAGTTATGTCCGAAACCTACTTTTGCGAACTAGTCTTAGGGTTTTCGCCCGATCAGAACCAAACCACTGCAGAAATATTCTCTGGACAGTGAATATCAATAATTATTTTTAAAAAGTTGAAATTTTGATTTTCGCGCGCAACAGTACGCAAAAAAACGTTCTATGCTAACTTTAGCCAATAGCTAATTGTAGCTATAACCCTTGAAAGAAATGAGATGTCTTCACCAAACTCGGTACTCGTGTATGACCTCAATCTTTGGTCTAATAAAAAAAATCGCACAGTTCTGCCACTTGATGGCGCTATAAGGTGGAAAAAAATTAAAAACGACTATAACTTCGCAACCATTTGTCAGATCGACTTGAAAATTAGTATGCAGTGTCTTTGTCCGAAGTGACACAAGTGCCTATGAGGACATTCGCGTATCTTAAAAAACATGGCCACCTTTGACCAAAAAATTTTAAGCACCTATTTGACAAGGTTAACAGAGGTCGATCGGAATGAAACTCGGTGGGCATGTTCGACTCATGGCCTTAAAGGTCTGTAAGAATTTTGAAAGAAATCGGCCACTAGTTGGCGCTAACGAGTTTTA